GTATTTATGTTTTACCTAATTCTTCCATCATCTTTACCCATTCCTTGTGGACAGCTGCTGGACTCTTTACTCTGAACAAGCAGGAAGTAGAAACGACTTTTAGTGCAAACAAAACGATTCTTATTTTCAGCAGGTTTTAAACATGAAAACATCTAAATTCACATCATGTTGTTATAAAAGTCTGGGTACAAAATGACCAAAAAGAGAGCAGGTTGTTTTTAACCTTTAAATGTGTAATTAACAATAATCTGTTTCACAGTGAGTTTAACATCAGCTTTGTGTTTAATTAGTTAAATAATTACGYCTTAGATTGTCTTTTGATTGACAGGACGTTACAGTTTACAGTGACCACGACAGGTCCAAAACAACCAGAACAACCTAAGAAAATATAAACTCGTCACACTCCTGGTAATCCAATCTGATTGACAAAATCTTGACAAAATAAACAGATTTTTTTCAGGAAGTCTAATAAAGAGTTAATTAAAGTGGACATATCCTGCAAAATCTGAGCTTGTGGAGTTACAATTAGGATGAGTTCAGACCAAAGCATTGCAGTTCCTCTTTATGTAGACCCCAACTTAATTCAAAATATTCAAAAAGAAGAAGCTCTTTAATTATATTTAATCAGCTGAGCAACCTTATGCTGCTTGTGTGGGGTCACCTGGGTTCAGCAGGAGGTCCTACAGCTCAGCTCTGGATGGATTGGGTTCAGACTAACAAACATCCATCCATCCATCCATCCATCCATCCATCCATCCATCCATCCATTTTCTTCTGCCTATCTGGGGTCAGGTCGAGGGGGCAGCAGCTTCAGAAGGGAGGCCCAGACCTCCCTCTCCCCAGCCACTTCTTCCAGCTCCTCCGGGGGAACTCCAAGGCGTTCCCAGGCCAGCCGAGAGACAGTGTCCTTCCAGCGTGTCCTGGGTCTTCCTCGGGGCCTCCTCCCGGTGGGACGTGCCCGGAACACCTCACCAGGGAGGCGTCCAGGAGGCATCCTTACCAGATACCCGAGCCACCTCAACTGGCTCCTCTCGACGTGGAGGAGCAGCGGCTCTACTCTGAGTCCCTCCCGGATGACCGAGCTTCTCACCCTATCTCTAAGGGAGAGCCCAGCCACCCTGCAGAGGAAACTCATTTCSGCCGCTTGTATCCGGGACCTCGTTCTTTCGGTCATGACCCAAAGCTCATGACCATAGATGAGGGTAGGAACGTAGATCGYCCGGTAAATCGAGAGCTTCGCTTTCTGACTCAGCTCTCTCTTCACCACGACGGACCGGTACAGCGCCCACTTTACAGCAGYRGCTGCGCCAATCCGCCTGTCGATCTCCCGCTCCCTTCTTCCCCCATTCGTGAACAAGATCCCCAGATACTTAAACTCCTCCACTTGAGGCAGGGCGACCCCCCTGACCCGGAGAAGGCACTCTGCCCTTTTCCGGCTCAAGACCATGGCCTCGGATTTGGATGCACTGAGCCTCATCCCGGCCGCTTCACACTCGGCCGCGAACCGCTCCAGRGAGAGCTGCAGATCTCGTTCCGATGAAGCCAACAGGACCACATCATCCACAAAAAGCAGAGATGTGATCCTAAGGCCACCAAAARGGATCCCCTCAACACCTCGGCTGCYCCTAGAAATTCTGTCCATGAAAGTAATGAACAGAATCGGTGACAAAGGGCAGCCTTGGTGGAGTCCAGACTAACAAACAGATGTGGATAAAAGCAAATTCAGTGACAGGTCTGAACAACCCCCCCAAAAGTTCAGGTGAGCTGTTTGGAGGTTTGACTTCCCTCGTTGCATAGATATCAGGGCATTTAGGATGGCTCTGAGATACTAACAGGAAGTTCTTCTATGACTTAAAAAATGAGCTCCTCGGGCACAATTAAGCTGTGTAACAAATCAGGYGTTGTGACCCAGGTAGGCCACACCCAACGTTGGCCACACCCAACGTGGGCATAAAATGCTGAGAAATTAGACGGTCTAACCTTTAGATGACAAATGTTTGTGTGACCACGCTGCCCCACGTTCAGGCAGAAATGATCTGTGTAACAAATCAGGGGTTGCAGCCCACGTAGMRCACACCCCCTGCACTTATTTAAATGGTAAAATGGCTTGAACTTACATAGCGCCTTATCAAGTCCACTTGGACCTCAAGGCACTTTACACTTCAGACATTCATCCGTGCACACACATGATGGTAAGCTCGGCAGGGCTGCCATGCACCTGCGCCACCGGACCCTCTGACCACCATCAGTAGGCAAGGCGGGTGAAGTGTCTTGCCCAAGGACAACGACTGGATGGAGGATCGAGCCGGCGACCTTTCCCTTCCAGGACGACTCCTCTAACCAATCCACCACAGTCGCCAAAGAATRTACAAACACATTCTTTGGTCTGTGATGATTTTCTAAACTCTGTTGTAAAAAAAAAAAAAAGACAAAAAACAGTTTATGTTTGTCTGTTTAGTTTGCTGACGACACAATGAATCCTGGGATATCGTCGGTCGTGTAGGATCCTCAGACGCAGCCCACGGSGTGGCGCAGTGAGCAGCCCACAAACGCGCCCTACGTGGGCTGCAGCCCCTGCATTGAGGRGCAGCTCTGATGTTGGCTGTAGCATGAAGTGACTCCTGATCGGATGGATTTAAAAAAGGAGAAAAAGCTCTCTGTTTTAACCGATTGGTCTTTTCTTTTTGAATTCACCACGACCTTATTCCAGTTTCTCCAGCGTCCTCTGGAATGTTTTATTGAATCGTTGACATCTCTTTAACCTCCACACACAAAAAATGTCTTCAACCACAACTTTGAGGCAACTAAAAACCTGTTGCGTTGTTGGGATCGTTACCGTGTTTATTTACTACTGTTGGTACTCTAAATGAACTTGGTGTCCTTAGTGTTGGAACGTTTTGAGTACTTGCAGAACTTTATGACAATTAAAGTTCTATTTTTAACTCTCCGTGATAAAACTTTAGCTTTTACGTGGTTACTCATCTACAGCTGCTGCTCTYAAGGAATCTGTAGAGTGAAGAAGTAAACGTTCCAGTTTTTTTAGTGTTAAGTTTCTATTTTTAACCAATAACCCGCAGAAGACACAGAAAACAGCAAAAGGGAACTATTGTGATGAGTTTTGAATCTCCAGGCAACTTTCCCATTAAGATTTAACCTTATTAACACAAAACAAGCCGGCTGGAAAAAGAGAATCACAGGAAAACATTCCCAGATTGCAACAAGAATAGATCTCCAGTTCAATCAGATTGAAAAGAAAAAAATGCACTGGTGAGTGTATTGAAAAGTAAGAATAATTTGTGACATAATAAAGAGATGAAACACATTTTTCTTCCTGACAGATGCTGTTTTTGTCACTAAGGTGRATTTCTTTAAAGGAAGTTGGACATTTTCAGTGTCTGGTCCACTTCAAACCTTTTCATTCCTTGAACAATAACAGCAGCTGGAAAAGAAAATTGTTGGAAAAAAGCACGAGTTTTCTGTATCAGAGCAACAACAAAAAGAAACAAATGCCACCATCTTTCAGTGATATCTGTTTGCAACCAAATAAATTAACAACCATTTCCTTTTCCTCCACAGACCGTAAAAAATGCCAACGAAATATATATCTGTGAGCCCCACCAGTGACATCAGCGTGAAGACCGAAAATGGAGCCCACCCAAAGAAACAGCGTTACATRCGTAAGGAGGGCAACTGCAACGTCTACTTCCGCCACGTTCCACACGAGTGGCTGCTGTTTGTCACCGATATCTTCACCACGCTGGTGGAGATCAGGTGGAGGGTGATGCTCCTGATCTTCGCCTCGTCCTACATCCTGTCCTGGCTCTTCTTCGGCATCCTGTACTGGGTGATCGCTCTGGCCCACGGAGACGTCAGGGACCACAACACCGAGCCCTGCGTGTTTGAGGTGCGCAGCTTCATGGCTGCTTTCCTCTTTTCTCTGGAAACCCAAACCACGATCGGTTACGGGTTCAGAGGGATGTCRGAGAACTGCATGGTCGCCATCATTGTCGTCACCATTCAGGACGTCATCAGCTGCTTCATCGACACGTTCGTGATCGGAATCGTGGTTTCCAAAATGGCCTCGGCCAGAAAGAGGGCGCAGACCGTTGGCTTCAGCAGTCACGCAGTCATCAACCTTCGAGATGGTTCTCTTTGTCTCTCCTGGAGGATCGGGGACTTCCGCAGGTACCACATGGTGGAGGGCATGGCTCAGGCTCAGATAGTCCACACCGAAGAGCACTCAACAGGGAAAGTTGAGCTGAGCTATGAAGACCTGACCATCCAACAAAAGGACATTGTCCTGGTCACACCCACCATCGTCTTCCACAGGATTGAACCTGGCAGCCCGTTGTACAAGATGGGTTTGGACGATCTACGGAAAGCCAGCTTTGAGCTGGTGGTGTCGTTTACCTACACAGARGACTCCACGGGCATGCTGCATCAGACCCGGACGTCGTACACGCCTGATGAGATCCTCTGGGGTCATCTGTTCCAGGAGATGATCAGGGTGAACAAGCGGCACTACAAGGTGGATTACAATTTGTTCAATCACACCGCAAAGGTGCACATCCCCATGAGCAGCGCCGAGGGTTACGACCACAAGAAGCGACTGGAGCTCTCTGCTCGACTTTCACCGCGGCATTCGTCTGGATGTTCTCCACGGCCTTCTCCGAAAACCAGTCCACAAAACCATCACAGCAACTGCCTGAAACCTCCGGTGGTAACAGTGGAGCTGATGGGCGACACCAGTTCCAAACCAAACAATACAACGTACCAAGGAGAAGGTCGTCAAGACTCTGTGACTGTCCCAGACGACCTCAGTCCTGAAACAGATGTCTAAGACTTTACAAAAATTTGAAATAAATAAACTGAGCCAACCATCTAGAGAGAGACAATCCTTCGGGGGTAGTGCTGAGAAGTTTGTAAAGGTTATTTTCTGCTGCTCATCTGTGGTCAGGTCTTTAGACCTGAGAGGATCCACTATCCCTACAGCCAGTTCTGAGTCTGCCTCTGGGTCTCCTTCCAGTACCTGGAAAACCAATCAGGAGGAATCCTAACCGGACCACCTCAGCTGACTCCTATCAATYAGGAGGAGRAGCAGTTCTAACTGGAGCTCCTCCTGGATGATGGGACTCCTTTCAGACTGTGAACAGCAGTTCTTCTAAACTGGGAAGCCATTTGTTACTCAACCAAAAATTATTCCAGATCTAATTATTAAAACTGCTCATCCGTCTTGGACATTGTATTTATAAAATGTTTTAATTAGTTTAAAATATTAGAAGATGTGCGAGTCTATCAAAGATGCAGGTTAATCATTAGGATAATAAAATGCATTTATTTGTCTTCAGTTTCTTTTCATTTGTCGTTCGTTTCAGTTTCAACTTGATTTTGATGACATGAAGACACAGGAGGGCTGGAAAGGTTTCTCTTTAACTTTATAAAAGCCAAAAAAGCAGAACTGAACATAAAACCCATCCTGACCTCAGAGATAAGGTGGCTATAACCATTTTTTCAACCAACTAATGAAAATTTTGTGTGAACTTTTAAAATGTCGCAAAAGAAAAAGAAATGTGAATTACCAGTAGGTGTGTTTCCGTCTACAGTTTGGAGCGAATCAACCAGGCTAGGCAAAGCATTATTTCATCAGACATTGACGTTATGCATGGCTGTAATAAACAGGGAAGTAGAAGTTGCAAACAAGCAGGGACCAAACATCTCGGGACAACGGAGATAAGTTTTTAGGAATGTGTTGTAATTGTTCTGTGATATCAACTAGTATCGGTGATGTTACATGCTGTCCAGAGACAGAAAGAAAATGAATGGGTTCAACATTCAGAAGGCAACGTCGCTCCCTCTCCATTCATTTCCTATGGAACTGGTGGTGAGGCGACCATCACTTGTCCTCCAACCAAGCGACGGGTGAAACTCGTTCAAGTGAAATTTCGAGCTCGTACACGTAGAGGTGCACACTTGCATCAGAAAGTTGAAAAACGTTCAGATTTTGTCGCTGTCACTTGGAGCTACAACCAATCAGCGAAGGTTTCATTGACTGACCAATGATCCACGAGCATGCTAACCACTTTCAACACTGATTTATTTGTGTTGGATTTAACTATTTTTATGACAATTCACAAAGTGATTACCAAGATACTCATAAGAAACCGTATGGGAACTTGTTGGTGCCAGGGTAAAAATGTCTGGTAAGTTTTCTCTACATGAAGCCCATACATGTCAACCCCTCTGACGTTTAGCTGCATCTTGACTCTCAAGAATCCATAATGGTGATTTAACTTAATTTTATTAAAGTTTTTTTTCCATCCTACAGGCGCAAAAATAAATCTGAAACTGTGTAATGATGGGGTTTGTGAGTTTCACTGAATGCTCAGACACCAGAGACGATTTAAGGATTTTATTAAATRTGGAGCAGCAGGATCGGGACCGACACGTCACCGGGACACGGAGGTCTAAACAAGAAATGACCAGGTTAGTGACTAACCAAGACAGCGGCAGAGCTTTGGAGCAGTAAATAGTCACTAACCTTTTTAGTACCAGTGTTTTGGAAACTTTGAAAGACTTTGAGAGTCTCAGGCGATGGTGGTTCCTGGCACTTCTGTGTTTGGCGCTGCGGCGTGGTATGCAGGCTTGAGGAGAATCCGTGAGACAGGCGTGGGTCAAAAACATGTGGTCAGAGAGCGGTGACAGGTTAAGGGGGTCAGACTTAACTCTTGGTCGTGGTACACYYMCGGGGMTCGAGATCCGGGGGTCCGATGGCTGGGCAAATCCAATAGGGGCTGAGGCGAAAGGCAGGAATCCAAAAACGAGAGCGAGGGTCAAAACCAGAGAGACAGAATCCGAGACGGTGGCAGACAGGGGRGAGGCAGGAGACGTGGAACCAGAGGACATAAACAAGGTCGTAACGTGGCAGGCAAGACAAGACATGGGATCYCTGGAAAAACTACTAGGTAAAACCGTTCATAAATCTGGCGCTGGACTGGTAGTGACTGAGGGAATATATACTGAGGGGAACAGGTGCATGACATGATCTAGATTGGAATTTCCGTGATGGGAGGGGTGAAACAATGAGCAGATTGAAAGCAAGAATACTGGGATGAATAAACTAGACTTGATAAATGCAGCATGACATGGTAGAATCTTGACAAACTGAGTTGTTGTTTTTTTTAATCCATGAGATTTCCCTGTACGTCCTGTAAAAACCTGCAAAATGTGTGTAATTGACGAACAATCCAAATCTTGACGTGTAATGAAATCGCATCTTAGCGTGCATTTTTATACGTTTTCAAAATCYTTAGCATCGCAACATTTGTTTAGTTTAATGAACACCATTTGGTTTTCAACCACCAGTAAACTCTTCAAGAAGAAGAATTTCTTGGAGACAAACAACCGGATAGCACGATTTGCAGCGCTGCCGTTGCCACGTCAGAACCAGAGGTGAGTAGTAACTAGTTACATTTACTTAGTTATATTTACTCACTTGCATGTACTTGAGTAACGTTTTGGAAAATATGTACTTTTAGGAGTGGTTTTATTGCACCACACTTTTTACTTCGAGTAATATTATTATAAAGTATCACAACTCACAGTTTAGTTTGAAGTGAGACGTCTTATTTGTACACAAGCTTTGTTTTTATTATAATTTCTATCTGCTGATATTTACAGTACAGTAAAGTACAGTAAACAGTAAATATAGTCACAGGATGTACTTAACCCTGTTCTAGTTTCAAATATTTTATAAGAAAATTTTGAATTGGAAAAGTGTTTCTTCTGCTGGGATTTGTTTTGTAATTAAATTAATTTTCATTATTTTAGTCTTTAAAAACACCAAAATTTAAACAATACTTTCTACAGTATATTCTGTCAGTCTGATGACATAATTTTAAAATATTAAATCAGATGTTATGATCAGTTTGTACATTTTTTTACTCTTGAGTAATTTATTGGACAGCTCATTTTTAAATTTACATGAGCAAAAATATGTTGAAGTACTGCTACTTTTAATTGAGTACAACTGTTTTTAGCAGTAAATGGCCGAAATACCCCGTGACCCCGAGGTATTCTATTGAAGATTTTCCAATACTTTTATGAATTACATGGTTGGTAGAACCCCAGAATGCAGGACTTGGTGAGTTTAAGCAAAAAAAAAATTTATAAAAGAAAACAAATAGCTGACGTGACAGCAAAAATGAACAAAATCTTGAGCATGAGCTTTGATAAGAACATGAACACCAAACAGAAACAAAGATCTGAACAAGACTGGAGATGGAGAACAGAATATAAAGGAGAACTAACGAGCAGAAATAAGAAYCACCTGGGAGAGAGACATGAAGAACAGGTGAGAGTGGGCGGGGCCTGGAGCAAAGACAGACAGGAGGAGGCAAACAGAGAGGGACCAAAATAACACAAGAACCCAGACAAACCATAACAAATACACCAACTTTGAAGATGTCATCCTTCATCAACCCAAACACTGTATATTTGTTGGTAGGTGCCTGTAAATGGAAACATTTGGCACTCTACCCACCTCTGGTCTGAACTTATTTGGCAAATGCATCATCCTTTTTATGCATTAACTTTTTTTTTAGATAAAGCCACCTCAATCGTGGATAAAAACCTTTTTTTTTTTTTTTTTTGCAAAATTGAGGACGTTTTCAAATTTTGCAGTTTCTATCTACTTTTTTCTGATGGTCCAAAAGGTGTCACTGTTTCTGATCACCTTTTAAATGAGCCAATCTGTGTGGAGCWGATAAAAACATCAGAACAGAAATACTGAATAATAGTGAAAACTAGACTGAAGTCATTTTGTCCCGAGTGTTTTTATACTGAACAATGGGGACGATCAGGGACGGAGATGATAGAATTAGGACTAAATTATACCCCAAATGTTTAGTCAGCTGTGAGGTTCTTGTCCTGCCTGATGRGGTTTTGGTGATGCTCCCAGTCTCGTGTTATCCTTCGATTCCCATTAATTCAGGCCTGAGTGATCCTGGCTGCAGTGAACAGACAGACCGGCCTCATTCCCTCTCTGAAAGCATCAGAAACAATTAAAACAGTTGCATCGGMTTTTTTTTTTCATTGTGGGTTAATTATACAGCGAACAACTCGAGCAATTTTAAAAGCAACAAATTGGTGCTGAAGTTTGAATTATTATGGATTTTCTCTGATCCTCGCAGAGGAAGGAGCAGAGAGGGGAAATAAATTTTTCCACTTTGACCAACAGATTATTTAATTCACCAGCGGTGAGAAAACTGGAAGTTCTTGTTGAATTCTAAGTGTTTCTGGCCAGCCAATAAAACATTAATAACCCAACTATTACCAAAGCTTTGAGCAAATAAAACAAACCATATCTCACTCCGATCTTTTGGCCGCAGCTTCTTATAAACGAAGCAGGTTTTGGACTCGGCGCTGAGGCTGAAGTTTGTTTTTCAAATGGAGACGTTCTGATATCAGATGCTCTCAGAGCGCCCGTGTTTTTGGTCTTCCAGGTCTGTCTGACCTTGATGATGAAAAAACGATGGACTCGGTTCAAATGTCTGCCCGCCAAAAACTGATGGATCACGTTAAGTTAAAGAACCCGTTGCGGCCTCACTGCGTTCTCCAAGAAGAGTTTTCACCAGCAACAGAAGAGAAAAGGTGGGAGTTTCAGGTTTAGGCCGTTTAACACCTTTTTGTTGTTGTTTTGATGAGAAATTCTCCAAAAATCTATTTTAGTTTCAGGACGTTTTGACATTAGGAGCTCTGACAAACTAAATGAGCTGAAGAAAACTGGACCCAGAAACTCATATGAGCTACTTCCAGACCTCCAGAGTCAAATAATAATCTGTCAAACAGACAATCTTTAGTAAACTATGACAATGAAGAGAGAGGAGGGGGGGTTAACCTACCCACCTGTCAGCAGATCTCTGATTGGCTGATCTAAAAGACAGAAAACAACAAGTCTTTTTATCTGAACTCTAAAAGAGTCAAAACATCTCTTTATGATGTAAAAATAAATAGAAATAAAACTGARATTTTTAGAGTGAATGAGCTGAATGTGTTGTTTTATTTTGAAAACATTACATAAAAATTCCAATCAAATCATCGTTTTAGTTCAAGTTATCCAGAAAAAAACTAACGAGGAGATAAAGTCTGCTTATCTGACACCAAACAGAAACGTTCTAAAAGCATCTTTTTGGATAATCACTAAACAAAAGAGACCTTTTCTGTTCATAAAGTTGTGATTAATGAGGATCTCCTGCAGATGGACCGGCTCGGCATAGGCACTGTAGGCAAGTGCTAACGGCACCGTCCATCTAGGGGGGCGTCTCTAATGAGGGATTAAAGCTGTATTTTATAACTTTTATCAGAGTGTTAATTTACTCTGTATAATAATCACTGGTTCCTCAGGTTGATAAGGTGTTATATGGTGCAGAGGATGTTTTGTGATAAAAGTGTGGTGCAGACTAACTCCTGGTGCTCAGTGTGGAAACAGAAAACAAAATAAAGAGAATAAAGCTTCAGTTCTGATCTCAGATAAAGTTCCTGTTAAAATCTGATTTTTGATGTTCATAAATACAGATTTTATGCATACGTGTCAACTTGTACGGATTGTCCGTAAGTTATGAGGATTTTACGTCATTTTGCAGGTATACGGACGTACNGTGTGTGTGTGTGTGTGTGTGTGTGTGTGTGTGTGGGAAGTTACAGTGCCTGATTCATCTCCATCATGACTCAGGTTGTTTCATGTGCTTATTACATCCGGGAACAGTTTCCTCTCTGAGACTAAAATCAGATTAAAGTCACGTGTGGATCAGAGTTTAATTAAAGGCCTATCATTCTGTTGATAAACACACACACACACACACACACACACACACACACACACACACACACACACACACACACACACACACACCTGTGGGTGCGAGTTGTATGGATTTTTTGCAAAATTTATGGATTTTTGAGGCTTTTTACACAAGTAAATGTCCAAAGAGGTTGACATGTAAGTTTGTTTTATTAATCCCATGAATTTTTGTAAAATGCTCTTCAAATGACTGGAAAAATGCTTACAATCTTGCCCAGGGCACCAAATTAGCCAGAGCCAGCCCTGGCAGTGGTTATATGTGGCCCAGCTAAATAATAAAACAACAATTTTACAAGTATATGTTGCTTTAACATCAGATGCAGCTTCTATTTATGATAAAATGCTTTGTCAGCATTCTTTTTTTTTCTGATTCTGATAAAATTTGTGCTTCTTGCATCAGAAAAATACACTTTTTAATAAACAAAAGTCTCAAAAACAGARGGGCTGACTTTTAACTAACTTCATTCAAGATGGTCGTCAAAGTTAACTTGTTTTAACACAAAKATTTGGTCGTTTTCACAAATATTAAAGTCAGTTTTCTTGTGAAAGRAGCTGAGGGTCATTTATCAGGTGGCGGGAGACGTGCATTTTCTTTCTTGTACTTCTGAACATTTGTTCTGACTCGGTAAATAACAAACACATTCATCAAATCACTTGTTCAGGACTTCAAAACAAAAGATCCACAATTAAAGCTTGAGTTTTCAGAGTTGAAGAAAAGCAGTGAAATAATATTTACTTCTTGTTCCCATCATCAGCTCGTTATTATTCCAGTGTTTTCATAGCTCACTCCTCTAGATGCTGCTGCTGAGACACCAGCTGTCTGGGTTTCCTTCAGCCCAGCCTCCAGCCCTCCACCTTGTGGTCCAACACGCAGCTCTGGCTCGCCGCACGCAGCGCTGCAAATTGGGCATGGAAAACAAACACACTCACGGCGTGCACAGCGCTCTGACACAGGTGGTTCGGCCTAAATATGTGCGCCGCTAAAAATAACCAGGGCTAAAAATACGAGTGGGGGGGCTGGGAGGAATGGAGCCCTCTGAGATTCTTTGTGAAAACCACGAAGCTGAGGTTGATGTTTGGGATGAATTGGTGCTCAGGAAGACCACACGCTTCCAGACCAGATTACAGAACAACAGAGTCTCAACATGTGAAGCAACTGGATCTGGGAGACGGTGGGATCCTGATCCAGGCCCTTCGTTGGGTGACTCAGTGTTTCCGACACAACTCTGTTTCCAAAGCAGCGTTCAGAAATTAGGATCTGTAAAAACAACACAATCACTGAAACCAGGAGGTCTGAGTCTGCTTTTTGTTTTGGTTTTAGTTTACGTGTTCGCCGCACAAAAACTCTGACACCCTGATGGTTCGCTTTCCTTTCCTTTCATTCATGATTCCTGCTCTTCCTGCAGACTTTATATAAAAAAACATCCAAACATGATGTAATCTATAACAAAACCTGCAGAAAATCAGCAAATAAATACTAAAGTTTAAAGAAAACAAATGATAGAAGTAAATTTCTTTGATTCATCATAAAAATCTACAGAAACATTTAAAAAAATCTTTGGACTCTTGTAGGTTTTATAGTTTTCTTACAGCAACTGTTTGTGTATTGGTCAGGGAGTGACAGGGAGTGTGTGGTTACTGTGGTGACCACAAGGGCAGCAGTTTGAAGAATTTCTGCAGATTTTACATCAAACGATGACTTTAATCTGCTTAAATCAAGTTATTTACTTTTTCTTTTAACGTTTTTAAATATTTCATTGTTTGGTTATGTTTGTTTTAATGATCCTGAATTTGTTTCTCTGCAGATATTTTTTTTAATGTTTTAGCTAATTTTGTTCCTACAAGTGAAAATAATGAAGTTATTTTTTTTTAAATCAAAGTTAAAACTTCTTTCTGAGTCTTTCCAGGGCAGATTTAGAAGTTCTCCTGATGACAAAAGTCAGATTTAATCCCTGGTTGAGCTTTAACTGCACGCTGGTCCCTGAACGCATCACTCGCATCCTTCAGAAACCTGCGGAGCGCGCGCCTCTCCGCGCTCCGCTCCTCCGCTCCCATTGGCCGGCCCCGGAGCCGGGAGGGGGCGGGGCCGAACCGGTGCCTGCGGTTTTATAAACGCGTTGGAGAACCTCACTGCGAAGCACTTTATCAGAACCGGTCCTCCGGAGACACGAGGGACGCGTCAGCCCGGGATGAGTGAGGCGGCCCGGATTATATTTCAGCTGGAAGATCCGATACGCAACAGGTAGATCCACCTTTCACTCACCTGTTCAGGTTAATTATTTTATCATTAGATTAAAGCAGCCGGTGAGGTTCTGATCTGAGCCGAACTCCCCGCAGACTTCCGGACCCGTTTTWACGCACAAAACCCGCCAAAAGGCTCACCTCGTTTAGATTTTCAGAATAAAGTTCTGATTGGAAAGTGACACCTGCTCACATCAGCTCAGATCAGACCTTATAAGGGACTTAAAAATTAAAAATGTAGTTTTTTTTTATTAGTTTGTTTTAAATTTAGATCCAGTTCATTGAGTTTTATTGTGGGATCATTTGAACACAACTCAGCAGGAAGTTGCATCAGACAGCTGTAGGTGTGAAACAGTTTGATGGTTCACTTCTCATCTTTGACTCTTGTGTCTCAGAGAGGAGTTGGCTGATTAAAACATAAAAAAAAAAAAGACAGCAGGGAGCTCGATTAGGACTTTGTTGCCAGGACAGCTCAAACTAATGAGAGGTGCTTCAGGGGAGCTGGGAGATGTGCAGCAGAGAGTCGGACCCCCTCCTGAGGGCTTCGAGTCAACAAACTGTGCATCTGTGCTGCACATCAGAGGACAGATCAGAGACACTCGTCCGTCAACGTCCATCAAATAAAAACATGCGTTCRCTTATTTTGCGTTAAAGTTGTAAGAAAATGTGTGAGTGTGGATTAAAAMTTGGCAGCTCTGTGGAAAACCTGTTCCTGAAGGCGGCGAGTCGTAACTCGGGACCTGAGCTGAGGCGAGCAGGTCAGCGAGGAGCAGCCAAGAACAACATGTTCTCTTCGTAAAAAGGCCATTAACTGGATTTAACCGTAATTACTGCCTGACCTCTCTGTTCGCGTCGAAATGTCGAATCGGAGCGGCGTGTCTGCTGAGGCTGGTCCTGGTTCTCCTCAGGCTGCACACATGCTGGAGCTGATCAGCTGTAATGAGCTGTCTGTGTTTTATGTTCCATTAGTGCCTCGTTTCTTTACAACTGACACCAAGCTGTTTCCTCTAACAAGCCTCTCCGCTCTGTGTTCCTGCAGCAGACCATGAGGATCGGACCCCTGAGGAAAGAGGAGTGACTCCCCCCCCACACGTCGCTTGTCGTGCTCCATCTAGAGGCGTCCCTGCAGCCGCCTCATCCCGTCACCATTTCTTCCCGTAGTTGGACCCCGGAAGCGTTTCGAAACTGTTTCTCCAACGCTTTTTCCAAAAACTCAGACTGTTTTCTAAAGCAGAAGCAGCGCCGCCCTCCCCGGCTGAGGTGATGGGAAGCGTGCGAGCCAGCCGCTATAGCACCGTGTCATCCGAGGAGGACAGCATGAAGCTCGCCACCGCCGCCGCCGCGCCCAACGGCAAGGCCAAAGTGCACACGAGGCGCCAGCCGCACAGCCGCTTCGTGAAGAAGGACGGCCACTGCAACGTGCAGTTRGTCAACGTGAGCGAGAAGGGCCAGCGCTACCTGGCCGACATCTTCACCACGTGCGTGGACATCCGCTGGAGGTGGATGTTCGTCGTCTTCTGCCTGGCCTTCCTCCTGTCCTGGCTCTTCTTCGGCTGCGTCTTCTGGCTGGTGGCCGTCTTCCACGGGGACCTGGACGGCCACGCCCAGAAGTGCATCTCCAACGTGGGCAGCTTCACCGCCGCCTTCCTGTTCTCCATCGAGACGCAGACGACCATCGGCTACGGCTACCGATACGTGACGGACGAGTGCCCCGCCGCCGTCTTCGTGGTGGTCTTCCAGAGCATCGTGGGCTGCATCATCGACGCCTTCATCATCGGCGCGGTCATGGCCAAGATGGCGAAGCCGAAGAAGAGAAACGAGACTCTGGTGTTCAGCCACAACGCCACGGTGGCCATGCGGGACAACAAGCTCTGCCTGATGTGGCGCGTGGGCAACCTGAGGAAGAGCCACCTGGTGGAGGCGCACGTTCGGGCTCAGCTCCTCCGGTCCAGGGTGACGGAGGAGGGCGAGTTCATCCCCCTCGACCAAACGGACATCGACGTGGGCTTCGACAGCGGGGTGGACCGCATCTTCCTGGTCACGCCCATCACCATCGTCCACGAGATCAACCAGGACAGCCCCTTCTTCGACATGGACAAGCAGGACCTGGAGGGCGCCGAGTTCGAGATCGTGGTCATCCTGGAGGGCATGGTGGAGGCCACGGCCATGACCACGCAGTGCCGCAGCTCCTACGTGGCCAGCGAGATCCTCTGGGGCCACCGATTCGACCCGGTGCTCACCGCCGAGAAGAACTGCTACAAAGTGGACTACTCCCGCTTCCACAAGACGTACGAGGTGCCGAGCACCCCGCTGTGCAGCGCCAGGGACCTCGCRGAGAAGAAGTGCCTCCTCTCCAACTCCAACTCCTTCTGCTACGAGAACGAGATGGCGCTGGAGAAGAAGGAGGACACGGACGAGGGGAACGGGGGCAGCGTCGGGCCCGACGGCACCCAGATGGACAACATCTCGGAGCCCGAACACCATCAGGCCATGGTGCCGCTGGACGCTCGGGCCATGAGGCGGGAATCTGAAATATGACCGCGGGACAAGCCGGAAACAGACTCTGTGCTCTGAAAGGCCCAACGAGCCGGGCCTGGAGGAGGAACYGTACTGCTGCGAGAAGCGTCGGGACTTTCTGCGTCTTAACTCCGACGGCGCACAGCGTGACTCGGCTCAGCACAGACCCTCCACCGACTCTCCACCAGTCCGGCGTCCGCCAAGAGGAGGCGGTCCGCCGCCGCCGCAACCGGCTCCGGCCGCTCCGTCTGACCAGAGCAAGACGTTTTCTGTAGATCCTCTTCGTTTAGTGCTGCTAGAAAACAGAAGTTAAACACTTGAGCTTCTCTCTGTCTGACGCTTTTTTTTCACACYGAACCAAAAAAAACAGAAAACAGAAAAGGAAGTCTGGAACAAAGAAGGTACAGAGTATTTGTTTGTGAGCTGGTCTCAGAGCAAGTAGGAACCACTGATTACAGTTTCTGTAAGCAATAAAGATAGAAACGGAGCGACCGGCACTGATTCTCTGGTCCTTTATTAGTCCGGACGACCGCTGGAAGCTGGTCAGACTGGTCAGACTGGTGGGAACACGAGTGGAGAAGTATTACCACAAACTGTCAGAATCCCTGAGCTGAAGGAAGAACAGGTGAATCTGAATGTTTTAAAAGTGCTGCTATGTTGTTGCTTCTGTTTCACTTTGTCGCAGTTGGTTAAGAAACTAAAACAAAAAAAGCCAAAGAGTGTTATTATTATTATTATTATTATTATTATTATTATTATTATTATTATTATTATTATTATTATTATTATTATTATTATTATTATTATTATTATTATTATTATTATTATTATTATTATTATTATTATTATTATTATTATTATTATTATTATTATTATTATTATTATTATTATTACTGTTATATATATTTCTTAAAGCCACCTGATTAGATTTGGTACAGAGAATTAGATCTTTTAGGAGTTTTAATACAGTTTTTTAAAGAATGTGTGTACAGTTTATTTTATTTTTTACATTTTTTATCGAGCCGCTTCATCAAGCCTTAAACCCCAGGAGTCCAACATGAAGTTTAGGAGAATTTGCTGAAGTGAAAAGATGATATATTTTTAAAATTTCCACCTTGAATCGAAGGGTTGAAGAGAATCTGATGCTCTGAAGTTTTCAGCTGAATTTCTCCTGTAAGTTACTGTAAGCTCGCTCCGGCAGCGTTATTTCCTGTACGTTCAGTTCGAATCAGACGGAGAGCCTCTCGGCTGCATCAATCTACACCTGTAAATACTTTTATGTTTGTGTTTTTTGTTTTTTTTGTTCTTTTGTTAGCAGTCTTCCAAATGTACTGCAGAACCACAGAATGTACAGATTTTTGTATTAATATTATTATTATTATTGAACATGTTATCATATTGCTGTTTTTCAATAAAATGTCTGGACAAACAGAATCTGATTCTTTTCTTTTTGAATTATTTCTAAATATAAGCTTTAAAA